ACATGAACTGACCCTAACCTTAAGCCCCAAACCCAAAACCCTAAAGCCTAAACCCTGAAACCTCAACCCTAAACCGCAGCCCTAAACCCCAAACCCTTAACCCTCAACCCCAAGCACTAAAAAACCCTAAGCCTTTGACCGTGGGAGGTCTGAACTTCCACCGGAGCTCCGGGATGAGGAGAAAAAGGAGAAGGCCTAATTGAGACAGTCCTGTAGGGTTTGGGGTTTAGGATTGAGGGTGTAGGGATTTAGGGTTTATGTAGGGTTTGGGGTTTAGGGTTTAGGGTTTAGGGGTTAGGGTTTATGTAGGGTTTGGGGTTTAGGGTTGAGGGTTTAGGGTTTAGGGTTTATGTAGGGTTTGGGGTTTAGGGTTGAGGGTTTAGGGTTATATATAGGGTTATGCATGGATTATATGAGCTATAGTCTAAACTCCTTCATTGGGGTTATATTGGAGACTCTATAGGCGAGTATTATAGGGGTTATTAACGGGGATACTAGAAGTGTAGACTCTAGCTCATTCAGACGTTTAGGGTTCATTTGCTTGCGTCAGACGTTTAGGGTTCATTTGCTTGCGGTTTGGGGCCCAGGTTGTAGGGTTTAGGTTTTAGGGTTTTGGTTCTTGCAGGTTTGGGGTCTACGGGAGAGCCCACCAGGTCATCCACAAAACGATCGAGTTCGAGATCAAAAAGATGCCTGATGGCAAGCTGCGAGCAAGGTCACGTTTGTCTGGGTGAGCAAGCAGTCTCTGTTTTGGGACCATCTTCAGCCCAATCATGGGTAATTACGTTTAGGGTTTAGGGTTACTGTAGGTATATTAAGTCCCTATTAACTCCACATTTAGAGGCTAGTACTGTAAAGGGGACTGACCCAATGTCTGTTTGTATTCAAGAAGGACCCAGGCATGGAGACGTGGAGGCCTAGATAAAAATCAGAACAGGTTTTTTCTAGGGGCTTTAGGAGGGACCCTTAATGGGGACCCTTGTAGCTTATTGGGGATAATATGGGTAATACCTTGTTATATAGGGGGTATATAAGGCCTATATAAGGGTTATGTAAGGTAGTGGGATTAGGGGTCCCTTCTAGGGGTCCTTCCTAACAACCCTTGGGTTTTGGGGTATATCTATCATACTAGAGTCTAGAGTTAGGGTTTTGGGTTTTGGGTCTAGAGTTATAAAAGAATTCTATAATGTTCAAGATGCAGATGGTCAGAAGGGAAGGAAGGAATGTGGGCTATAAGACAGGCTGTTACAGGGACTGCTGTACGGGATCATTTAGGGACGACTACTGTAGGGATGACATACCTTGTTCCCAGCTCATCAACAGTAAGGCTTGCATTTAAGCAAAACAAGATGTATATAAATTTAGTTTCCATGTAATTTTCAAATGTTCCTCTTGATTCTGCATCTTCGGGGTGATGTCCCTAAACCCTGTTTATACCCGCTGCGTGCGGTGCAGGAAATTGCTCTTCCTACCCCGCGGAAGAGAAGGCCGTCGTCAGCAATACTTTGGGAGCTTTAAGCAGGTTGAGACGAGTGTAGGGTTCAGGGTTGAGGGCTTGGGGTTTAGGGTTTTGGGTTTAGGGCTCAGGGTTAAGGGTTCCGAGATGCAAGCAGTGTGGAAGTTTCTCATGAATTCCCCTAGAGAATACTTGACCAGGACCCACAGAATGACTTTGCAATCCTCATCTGGCAGTTTCCACGACTAGGGTAGTTCATTATGAACTTCAGCTCATTATAGGGACTCCCCCAAGAAGGGCACCTTGTTGTCGGACCCCCCCCCTCATATTAGTGCCCCTGCAATATCCCTACATAACCTTCTATGGCCCCTTGGTACCTGTTTCGGTCTTATTTTGGGAAACCTTGCTGTGGCAGTTGATCAACATTCCTGGCCCCCAAATGGCCAGTATGAAAAAGAAGTTGAATAATTTCCCCAAAGAAAATATGTAGATCAACTCCCACCCTAAACCCTAAGCCCTAAGCCGTAGATGGTAGTTCCCATTTTCTTTTCCATTCCCCTATATCTCCTCAAAGGCCCTGTAGATCAACGCCCATGTGGCAGGCTCAGGACAGAGAACTCGCGGAAGGCAGGAACTCGTTTCCCCTAAAAGGTTTAGGGTGTAGGGTTTAAAGCCTAAATCCTAAATCAGCGCCGCTGCTGTAGAAATTTCGGGCTTGGGGTTCAGGTTTTAGAGTTGCATATCTAGGGATGACATAGGCATATACAGGGATTGTATCGGGATTGTATAGGGGTACGATAGGATTATGTGGAGTCATTCAGGGAGAATTGAAAAGAACATGGAAAGTATATAGAGTTTAGGATGTAGGGTTTGGGGATATCATTTCAGTGATGGAGAATCACATGGAAAAGAAAATGGACATCACATGGAAACTGGGATTATGGTTGTTTTCCTTAACAGCAACCCAGCCACTGCCTGCACCGTCTTCGTTGCAGGGTGGCCAAGTACCACAAGGACAAGGGCTATGGCTTCCTGGGTGTGGAGCCCGGCAGGGCCGTCACAGCTGACATTCTGATTCTCTTCATTAATACCTTAGTTACTAATTGTTTGCAAAAGTATATTTGTTATTGTGATTATCGTTGATATTATGTCATTTTATTATTGCTATTATTATTGTCATTATTCTCGGTATCATTCCATGTGTTCCATGCCTACGACTCCCATGAAAGGAGCGTGGTTGTGTGATCGTTGAACATCTTAGCCAGCACTTTGTTTCGTTTGAGCCCGCTCAGATTGTGAGTTTGGCGACAACGTTTTCTTCCTCAGAAGCTCTCTTCCCAAGGCCTATAGTCCCCCTTGAGTAGATAGAATATGGGGTATATGGGGATCTTATTATAATATACCCAAAGCCATATTCTATCTATTTAAGGGGGACTATATTATCACTTTGGGGGGTAGCCCTTGCTTTGCAAGAATTTTGCATCACGTAACTGTCGATATGGGAGTTTCCTAAAATTAGGGGTACCCTTTTTGGGGGTCCCCATAACTATAGTATTTTGGGGTCTACATTGGGGTCCCCTTAGTTTGGGAAACTACCATATGAACAAGACCTTTGTTGACATCCTGTATCCTGCCAGGACTTGAATGACGCCTCCCTGGAAGAGCTTCAGCAGCTGGAGATCTCGTTCTCGATGTGCGCCTTGTGCTTCCCGAGCCTACCCGCGCGTCCCATGAACCCATGCGGTGGCCTGGTGAAGACTTCTGCAGTCTTCCGAAGTTCTGCCTGAGCTTTTCAGTGGGTAGAGACTTGTGCTTGCTTCCATGCTGTTGGTTTTTGCCGGCAGATACTCCAAAGAGCAGGGCAAGCCCCGCGCACAAAACCTGGAAATTGTCGGCAGGGACCGCGGTTTGTGGGAGGTTTTGCGCCCACAATCTCTATCGTTCTGCGTGGTTCCTGCAACTGACTTTGATGGATTTGAGCTGGCTCCTGGCGTCTTGCGTGTTAACTTTGTCCTAACCACTGCAATCGCTTTGCGCGTAGCTTGGTTTGTAGCTGCCTGGGGAGGAACGGAGAGAAGAGCGGCAACAGCTACAGGGCGGCGAGGCCGCCGTGAAGTTTGGCCTCGTTTGTCGGGAGTCGAGGGGTTGCTTCACGTAGCTTTTGCAGGCTGCCTTCAGTGGCAGTATGTGGCAGTTTTCAGGTCATGTGACACAGCTGCTTTGATTCCGCTTGCAAGCGTCGCCTGTGTGACGACTGTGCCCCACTGTGCCCCAAGTGGCACTGCGCCCTTGTGAGCGTTCAAGATGTGGAATGCTTTCAGATGTGGCTTGGAATTGTTTCTGGGTTGCTGTTAAGGAACTTAATTAAGTTACTATATTGGGGAAACCCTATTGTTTACTATATATACCCATTATGGTAACTTGACTTAAGTTCCTTAACAGCAACCCAGTTGTTTTCGGTGTGCATGATCTTGGGTTCGACACTGTCCTTCTACTTCCCCTTTCCAGGAACCGTACCGTAGGGACACCGGCTGGGAAGCTTGACCATTGCGATTTGGCTTTTGCTCACCCTCACGTGGCACCTTTTCATCCTGCAAGCCTGAGTATATAGGTTTTATATAGGGATGATAGGGAATATGTTGGGGTTATATGGGGATAATGGAAAAGAAAATGGAAACTACTAAGGGTTTAGCGCTTATATGATGGTCCTCCTGCTCAGGTGTTGGTTGGTGAAATCGTGAACTTCGAACCTGGCAAGGCCGTTTTTGAGGCCCAGTCAGATTTCTTGGGCTGCTGTTCGCTCCGAGGGCTATGGCTTTGTTCGATCGGACAGCTGCGACGAGGCTCGTGAGAATGACATCACTTTGCATTAGTGAGAATGTTTGACATCAATCTCCATTGGTTACGTATCATGTGCTGGCAAGCATGTTAATATATTGGGGTTATATTGGGTTTATATGGGGATAATGGAAATTAAAATGGAAACTACTAAGGGTTTAGGGTTCACATTGGGATAATGGAAAAGAAAATGGAAACTACTATAATAAGGTATATATTGGGGCATATTGGGGCTATATTGGTTTGTGCGTGAGTCAACTTGATCTTTAGCACCTGCGCTGGTTTAGGTTTTAGGGTTTCGGGTTTAGGGGTTTAGGGTTTAGGGTTTAGGGGGGTTGGTATGAGGGATTATGGTAGGTTCCATTTTCTTTTCCATTATCCCAATATAGCCCCAAGACATACCCTATCATAATCTATTATAGTAGTTTCCATGTTATTTTCCATTATCGCAATACAAGCCCTAAACCCTTAGTAGTTTCCATTTTCTTTTCCATTATCCCCAGATAACCCCAACATATTCCCTATCATCCCTATATAAAACCTATATACTCCCTGTAGCTTCCTTTTTCTTTTCCATTATCCCCCTATAACCTCAATATATACCCTATTGTAATATAGTTGTTTCCATTTTTCCATTATACTATATACCTCAATAATCCTATCAACGCTGCGCCGTTGGAAGGATGTCTATTTTGTGCGTGCGGAAATGCCGCCTGAACTCTCGGGGGCAGAGCGCAAGGAGGAGGCTGGGAGGGTCTGTGAGGCAAGTGTTCGGGAGCCCAATATCAAGGCAAAAGCCCTGAATCTACCAGGTTTAGGGTTCTGGGTTGCTGTTAAGGA